TACTATAGTGATTTGTTATTCATTTTCAAATTATAAAAAGTAAAATAAATATAAATTCTCTAATACAGTAATATCAATAAATATTCATATTATTCCTTTATAAAAATGAAGAAATCTAATATTCATGCAACTTTGATTCTTTCTAATTGACTTACTGTAATTGAAAAAATAAGCATGATCTATGCTCCTTGGAGGCCAAGATGGCCAAACTTCGTCTTTCATACTTCAGACATATTGTCAGGAAGGACCAGTTGCTGGAGAAGGATATCATGTTTGGTAAGGTGGAAGGCCAGAAAAAAAGAGGAAGACCCCCAACGAGATGGATTCGCCAAGTGGCAGCATCGATGGACTCAAGCATGGCAACAGTAGTAGTGAGGTTGGCCAGGATTGGGCAGTGTTTCGTTCAGCTGTGCATAAGGTTGCTATGAATCGGTACTAACTCGATGGCACCTAACAACAACAAATATTATCTGTACACTTGAAAAAGGCACACTGTAGGATTAGCACTAGACTGCTAACTGCAAAGTCTGCAGTTCAAACCCACCAACTGCTCCTCGGAAACCCTAAACAGGGTCACTATGAATTGCAAAGAAATCGATGGCCCTTAACAGCAACAACAACAGAGACATTAATACACGAATAAATAAAAATGAGTTATATTTGAACTGGTGTGGCATCTTAGTGTAGTCCTGTGGGTTAATGCACTGGACTGCAAGATTGCTTTGAATGGCAAGGTTGGCAGTTCAATCTCACCAGCCACTGCTTGGAAACCCTATATAGGGTCACTTTGAGTCGATCCCGACTCAACGGCACTTAACAGCAACAACAACATCCACAACATCCTCCTGTACACTCCTGGTGTGGCATTGTAGGATAAACACCGAACTGCAAGCCACAAGGTTGATGGTTCAAACCCACCAACTACTCTATGGGAACCCTAAACAGCATTGCTATAAGTCAGAACCAATTCAGTGGCACTTAAAAACAACAATAACAATCCTAGAAAATACCTCAAGGTCTGGTACCAACCTATCTTTCCAGCTTCATTTCCAACTATCTCCTCTAGTCACAAGAGATTGTTCTCAAATATACCCTGCACTTTTTTAGACTTCATCTGTTGGAATTCTGTTTCCTTTTATTTAAACTCTACCCTTTCTTCAAGGTCTAATTTAATGCTATCTTGTCCTGGTGTGGCATGTTGGTTAATGGACCAGACTGCAAAGCCATTTGAACTGCAAGGTCGGTGGTTCAAGCTCATCAGCTGCTTCTTGGAAACCCTATACAGGGTCACTATGGGTCAGAAACAACTCTACGGAACTTAACACCAACAACAAAGTGCATACAGGCAACATTTTTAATCTCTAGAGTCAACATTAATCTCCTCTGTGAAGCTACTGTACTTTTTCTGAACCTCTATTTCATATATCATTCACTGTAAACAGATGGCTGGCTATATATCTGGCTCAGCTGAGAGTTTTCCTGTGGGTAAGGGTGGTATCTTTTACCTTTCTATCATCTCCCACAAATCCTGCATAATGTTGATGTTTGACAAATTATTTTCAGAAAACAAATTACCCAGCAAATAGAACACTGCCTTAATTTGGGTCTTAATCATGTTTTACCTCGACTTGAACTACTTAAACCGGTCTCCAGATCTGGCTCCTCAAACTTTAGTCTTGCTTCTCTCCAGTTTATCTTCTATATTACCATAACGGTGATCTCACTAAGACACAAAGCTAATTATGTCATTTTCAAAGTACACAGTTCAATTTCCTAAATATGCCATACAAGGCCCTACCCACCTGCATCCATTCATACACGAGTTCCTGCAGTGGTCAAGCTATCACACTTGCGTTTATCTCCTTGAATGTACCAACTGGAGACATGGTCTACTACTTTAGTATCTTTCTTTAACCTTCTCTTCAGGGAGATGACTTATGTTTATGTGTAAATCCCAGATTGTCCATTACTCGGAAAGTACTCCTGAGTAAATTAAACTTTGAAAATGCAATTAGAGGAAGGCTGGATAATTCTCTATCTTCACCATTTCCCTACAATCTTTACAACACCCTTCTGCTGCTATGATAAAGTGGGCAACTTCAGCATTTTCTGCAAAACACAGCACTAATAATCAGTGTTAGAATTTAAGATTTTCATTCCCTGAGGGTAAAATTAAATTTCCACTTTTAAAAACAGAGATTTTAATTTTGGTTTCCTTCCTGCTCATGTTCACTCTATGGCAAAATGCAGAGAAAACAGTACATTAAAAACTATAAATCACATTTTGCTTAAGATAATGGTCTTAAGATACTTTAATAAAGATATTAAAGTAGTGGACCATGGGTACAACTGGTACCCAAGATATATTTTCACACAGGAATTTGCCATTCATATATGTTCTTTAGTGAAATATCTATTCATATCATTTGACCATTTTAAAAACTGGTTTGTTTACTTAATTGGTGAGTTTGTTTGTTTTTCAGGCTTTTAAAAAGATTCTTTTTTTTTAATTTAAGGCTTTTATTGTGGATCGAGTAAAAGTTTACAGGGCAGATCATCAGTTTTACAATAAACAAATCATACATAATTCCCTAGCGTAGTGGTTACGAATCGGGCTGCGAACCTTAATGTCAGAGGTTTGAAACTACCAGCTGCTCCGCGGGAGAAAGA